GGAGGAGGTAAGGAGGGAGGAGGTAAGGAGGGAGGAGGGAGGAGGTAAGGAGGGAGGAGGGAGGAGGGAGGAGGGAGGAGGGAGGAGGGAGGAGGGAGGAGGGAGGAGGGGTTAAAGGAGGGAGAAAGAAGTGGAGGCAGGGTTGAGGGGAGGGGAACGAGAAGGTCGGAAATGGTGAACGAGTAGGGAAGAGGGCGGGGGGGGGAGGGGGTAAGGAGTGAAGATGAATGAGGAAGATGGCGAGGAAGGAGGAAGGGAAGTATGGAGGAAAGAAGAAACAGAAGGTCGAGACTCGGACCAGGACGAGGATGGAGAGGAACGAACAAGGTGGAGCTGACAGGAAGGAGGAGGCCGGGAATGGGTTGCAAGGGTCAGGGAAAGGAGGAGTGTAAGGACCTGTACGCCTTCTGTGCCTGCACTGTTGTCTCAGGAGTGAGCTTGATCAGCCTCCCATCGCGGTAGGATCGGAACCACGCCCCCTCCTCCTCCACCTTCATCACTGTGTTGGTCCAGCCATGGCGACCGGAGCGTGACTTCATGTTCAGCTCGTCCTCGACGCTGCCGTAAGAGAGGGAGAACAGCTGGAAACCTCCCGAGTCTGTGATGATCGGCCTGTCCCTCCCCACAAACTTGTGTAGCCCTCCCATCTGGTCGATCAGCTCGGGTCCAGGTTGAACGAGGAGGTGGTAGGTGTTCATGAACATGAGCTCGCAGCCTGCATCGTCCGCTGCTCTGTGATCTACAGCCTTGAGGGCCCCGTTGGTTCCTACGGAGACGAAGCCTGGGGTGTTGACGATGCCGTGTGGGGTATGGATGCGCCCGACGCGAGCCAGGGACTTTTTGGACTGGTGAACCAGCTCATAGTGGAAGAAGTCCTTCTTGTCGTATGCCCAGGAAGGGAAGTCGGAGGGAGGAGGAGGAGGAGTGAAGGGGTCGATGCCATTTTTCTTCTTCCGCTTGCTCTGCCTCACAACCTTTGCTGTCTCATCCTTCGCACTTTCATGGATCTGCCTTGCCACTGGAGCAAAACAAAGTTTCCTCCGGCAACTCAAAACAGTGCTGCTTACAATGTCAGTACAATGTCAGTTCAATGATTAATCAGGATATTAGCACTCAGGCACAACTCAAACAACTGCAAAGTGCCGTATCCCATGCTTCTCTCCATCACACGCTGAAAACTCAATCTATCCTTATCCAAAAGTTGCGATACCCGTCTCTCCTCTCTCCTCTCTCCTCTCTCCTCTCTCCTCTCTCCTCTCTCCTATCGATCGATCCTCCCTCCTTTCCCCTCCCTCCTCCCTCCTCCCTCCTCCCTCCTCCCTCCTCCCTTCTCCTACTGTCGCACCTGCGTGTAGCCATGAGCGGCCGCTTCTCACTCCACCCCGCCTCAGAACCGGTGAAGGCAGTCAAAGGCGAAATAGGAGGAGCGTGAAGGGCAAAAGATGCTGATGGGGCTGAATGAGAACAGCAGCAGTGATGAATGATGAATGAAGTGTAGTTGACATGAGCATGCAGTTGTTTTCATTCATGTTACACGAGCTAGAAATGTTCTATCACCAAAATGTCTCTGAACTCGGTTACAGATGATTTCTTGTCACTCGATGCCGGAGAAACAATCAATGAAAGTTCGTGAGATCGATAGAGAACTCGTCATCCTCGTCTCGATGCACCCCTACAAGATATATCAATCTCCTCCTCCACCTCCTCCTCCTCCTCCTCCTCCTCCTCCTCCTCCTCCTCCTCCTCTTCCTTCCCCTCCTCCTCCTCACCGTAAGGATCATATCTGATCGTCCCGTACGCTAACCAGTGCAACGTGTGAACATCCTGCAAAGAAAAGTCAGAGCGAGAGCGGAGGAT